AGCTAACGGTACTTTATGATGAAATGTTTTTGCGATAAACTATAATTTAGGGTTGCCAGGTTCAAAAATGTAACCAGATGAGTATCTAAAATTGGTTCTTCGACGTTAATGCTGGGAAAAGTTAGCATATAAGATTGACCTCAACCCTTGACAAGATTTCCAGAGTAACTACATCTTTCGGACGATGTTGATTTATGGGAATCAAAAGACTGAAAATGGAACTTTCAATTTTCAGCACTGCAGCAGAGAAGTACCCTGGAAATAGAATGCTTGGTTGGCGCGAGTTTACTAATGGAAAGGTAGTTCATTTGATAGTTCATTTGTAGTTTTTATGAGGAGCTAACAGGAGAGTAATTCTGCTAATTATATCAGGCAGGGCCTTATAAATGGAAAACTTACAACGAAATTTACGAGGAAGTTTTGCGAGTTGGTTCCGCTTTACAGTATCTAGGTGCCAAACCTGTAAGAAAAAAATCCAAAACTAGACTAGCTTGCATAATTTATCTAATCTATGATTGTTTATAGTTATTGAAAAGTTGATGATTTTGCTCAAGGGGTCACGTATAGGAATTTATGGAGCAAACTGTCCTCAATGGATAGTGGCAATGCAGGTAAATATATGTATCTTTATTTTGATTAATTTGTCTTCTTCTAGTCTTAAATTAAGAATTATGATGACTTCCTTGATCTGAAATACTTTCTTTTACTTGGTGCAGGCTTGTAATGGTTACAGCTTAATTTGTGTTCCCCTCTATGAATACACTAGTTTAGTTTACTAATTCCCACCCGCCCGCCCCCCCCCCCCCCCCCCCCGGCTCTTTCAAATGATTTTGATTATGACAGTGCTTTTTATTATCATTCAAAATCTTCAATCTAACATATATCTCTTAAATTGTTTCCATTTTAATATTCAACAGGATCGGGAGCTGTGGACTACATAATAGACCACGCAGAAATTGACTTTGTCTTTGTACAGGATAAGAAAGTGAATCGAGTAATAATTCGATGGTTTTCAGTAACTCAGAATTTCATGAATGTGATTTTCCACAATTTGTTGATAAGCTTCGTATGATATCTTCTTTTGTAGATTTTATCTTCTGACTGCACATCAGCTAAACGTTTGAAATGTGAGGCTCACTATGTCAAATACTAATCATATAATAGGAAATTTTTCTTTTTCAATTTGTGGTTGAAATTTTGCTTTTATTTACAATCACAGCTCTCATATCGTTCACATCGATGGCCAAGGAAGAGAAAGATGCAGCTACAAACCTCGGAATGAAAGCTTACACCTGGATTGAGTTCCTCGATATGGTTAGCAAAGAAAATCAATATGATTTATGAAGTTTGGTTTGGTTTTAATCCAAAACGTGTTAACATTAATTAGGGAAAAGAATTTCCTTCGGAGCCTCTTCCGCCTCAGTCTCTGGATATATGCACAATAATGTATACAAGTGGAACCAGTGGACATCCCAAGGGAGTCATATTGACTCATGAGAACCATGCTACTTATGTGCAAGGTCTCGACTTGTACATGGAACAATTTGAAGAAAAGGTAAGTTTCTTCATGTACTTGTTTAAGTGATAAAGAGATTTCTTTTATGTATACTGTCATCTTTACTAGATTGATTCATTTAAATGATCTCTTATTAGATGACAGTCGATGATGTTTACCTCTCTTTCCTCCCTCTTGCTCACATCCTTGACCGTATGATTGAAGAATATTTCTTCCACAGGGGAGCTTCTGTTGGATATTATCAGGGGGTAATGGCTTAAGGTTCTT